CTGGCTCATCTGTGAAATGGGCCTTTCAAGGCCTCTGACATCAAAGGCTCCAAAGCTGGTCCCATCAAGTCAGAGCAGGGACGGGCGTTGCATTATAACAAATTAAAGCAACTTTGTGAATCATAGGGAAATATTACAGCTTGATTTCTGCTTCAAAAATCACTGCTTTGGCTCGTGGTTGGATGCTCAACACATAGGATTGGCCTGAAAACCAGTTTATGCCCATTTGGCTAAACCACGAAGCCTTCACGGAGAGTCTGTGGGTAAATAAAATTTGATCCTGGCTCGGTAACAGTCTGTGAATATTTCCCATCAGTTTCTCTCCGAGTCGGACCGTTATGCAGAATTTTCCATTTGTTTTAACTTTTAAGAGGGAATGGAACAAGTCTGCCATGGTAATAAACAGTAACTATACCCCACTTATGTGGCACTCTTTGTCCCATAGGATCACCAGAATGCTTTGTCGAGTGAGGAAGCTACGTGCAGAAATCCAGTCTGCTTTGGGACAGGGGATAGACTAAAAAAAACCATGATGGCCAATATTCTTATAGCACTGTGCTTTCTGGGGCGAGAAAGGGCAATTCATGGCATCAGCACTGACAATCAGGGCTTCATGTGCTCAGACATGCCAAGTCTCATGCAACACCAATGCCATGACTGCCCCACCACACACTTCCCCAGCACAGCACCAGCATCTCAGTCCTGTGGCATCTCAGACCTAGAAATCAGCCTGGAATGAGATCCTGAAGCCAGAGAGAGAGGCAACGGCTGGAGAGCAGCAGGGGATCACACCATGGGGATGATACTCCTGAACAGTGGGCTGATACCTCTGGGTCCATCCTGGCCCTGTCTTGTATGGCCATGTGTGGTATTTAGTAGGGGAAGGGGCTACATGAGCTTCTCCTGTGTCTCTAAGTCTATCACCTGACATGATACCAGAGCCTTGCAGTTCTAATTTCTCGACCAGCCAGCATGCTTTGTAACATCACGGAATAAAATTGCACAGTGAGGACACCTAAATCATGTATGTTTTCTGAGCCTCAGATACTCGTGACATAAAATTAGTCAGTGATTCTTTTTCAAGGCAGGTTTTCCACTTCATCTTCCAACTGGCTGCCCTCCTAAGCTTGTGATACTGTCCAAGATGTCCAGTACAGGATGACCTTCCAATATAGGAAGGGGAGCTTGTAGGAAACCTCAGCAGCTCATCCTTCTTAGCACTGCCTCTTGTGGTAATCTGCTGGCAGCAATGCTGGCAATGCTGCATAGCTGCTCCCTGCTGCCCTTTGGCCACAGGCTGGGCTTTTTGTATGTACTTATCCCCCTGACCTGCATGCCTCTGGGGGAGGTGACAAGACCATGAGTAAGCAATCAGCTTATTAGGTAATTTTTGAATATAGCTAAGGCTTGTGATCACTGCTACTAACTCGTTGTTTTGTGTGCTGGTCATACGTGTCTGAATGGGGCTCAGTTTTTCAGGTCCCTTCTCTGTCTAACAAGAATATTGTCAGGCTGCTTGCATTTGTAAGGCGTGGAGTGAAATGCAAACAGCAGGTCTTCAGATCTAGCACTGTTAACCAGGCTTCAGACTGCAGCTGAACCAGGTGCCTCTGAACTTCCAGGAAATTTGGCTTTGCTTTCAGTGCCATAGATCCCTCCCTGGGAGTGAGCAGGCTGACCCAAATGTGTTTGCAGTACAGAAGAATAACCACCCTTGCTAGCACAGGGACTAGAACAACTGCAAAGTGTTTTCCTACCCTAGGAAACCACTTGATATTACAATTTTAAAAAATAAGAAAGTTCTTCAAAACGGGGAGAGACAGATCCTTACCATGCAGCCAGAGCACTAACATTGGTTGGGACAGGTGAAAGTCAAGTCTTGGTGATATCTAAATTAGACAGGAGTCTTCCATCCCAAGGGTGTTCCTGAGATATGTCTCCCACAGTTCTGTTCCACTTTATGGAATAATAAGCTCTTTTTTTTCTCTCTCTCTGAGACCACAGTTCGGAGCTTAAGACACTCACCCAAGGTGCAGGAGGGGAGGTTCAAATCCCTCTCTGAATGCAGCAGAAGAGAGACTTGACCCTGGGTCACTCACATCCCAGGTTGACACTTTACCATTACATCACTGGCTGTTCTGCTGCCTCACTCACGCTTTTAAGTTTGCCTGGAGATTCCTGGGCTTCAGGGAATTTTCCCAAAATGAGTTTCCTTCAATTTCTGGATCTCAAAAATCATATTTTTTTTCCTGCAGTCCTCAAGTGTGAGTTTGTTCAGACAGAGTCACACTGAAGGTAGGAGCCCAGTTCACTGCATGCTGTAGCTGGGAGGGAGACTGCTGGAACACCCCTCGCCCAGCGTGCAGCTCTGGTGGTGGGAAGGAGTAGTTTTACTCTACATGAGTGCCCATGTTTCTGGCTTCCCCCCTCCTCAAGACTTCTGCTGTGTGGTGTTGTTAACGTTACCACATTCCTAACAAACATGAAACGAGTTCCAGTGGATTTAACCAACATGCCTAAATGCATACAGTTATTTATTCCAGTCTTGCTCCTCTGGCAAATTATCTATGTCATAGGCTCAGCACGGTGGCATTAGTTATCCTGACCTCTTCCCTCCAGAATGATTTTTCCTGGGTTTGGTAGGTTACTCTGCAGGTTCTCGATTTGGCAGCGTAACAACCAAAGAAATGTCTTCAAAGGATCAAACAGATTCAGAGCAATTTTACTTACATCAAAAGCTTGGCAGCATGTCAAAAGGTGTTGAGAACACCAGTCAGTCCTTGAGTGTAGGCAGGAGGAGCGAGCACGGGCTGACATACTGTAACATGAGGCAGGAGGCAAGGGAGGATCTACTGCTCTTTGTACATCAAGCTGAGCAGGATTAAGATACAATTGACAGAACATCACCACTTAAACATCTTAACCACTTTTAAGATATTCAGCAGTTAACAACAAGCAGGAATCCCACGTCTCTGATTGCAGTTTTTCTTTCTCCTCTATGAAGCCAAGATGTTCTTCTAATTGTGCTAAGGGATTGGCTAAGTTCTCTGTCAGAGAGCATCCAAGATTTCATTCATAGCACTACGGATATTTGTGTGAAAAATTGCACAAGTGCCAGAAGGTAATCAGTTCAGTATTTCTACTGAAAGGAGACAATCTGTCATATGCAAACCATCATATATAACAAGCATCTTTGTATTCTGTGCTGTTCTGAATGCTGGGGCACTGGGGACAGCCTCTGGGTCTCCAGCGATGGACGGAGGGTGAGAGGGAGGTGGGAAGGGGCAGGCAGCTGGAGCGAGCTGCTGAAGGAAGATCACGGCATGCTGCTGCCCTGAAAGTTTTCTTTTCCCCTCGAAGTGACAGCTGTACATACCTCCAGGGGAAACCCTGCCCGAGTAACCGCCAGGAGAAGGGAAAAATCTGTCAGGGGCGAGGGGGGACAAACCCATATGGCATTGCAGCCTCGCTGCTTAGGGGACAGCAGAGCACATGTTGGCATAAAATGCTCCATGCTGAAGAGACAGGGCGATTTTCCAGAGCAGCGGAAACGGGTGAGGATGGGGTTAAAGACACATTCTTCTCCAACAAAGACTGCACACAGGTTTACACATTAAACACTATTTAAGCACAACCCAACTTCTAAAACAACTGTAAAGAGTAGTTCTTCTATTTGGGCATTTTCAGGGGGGCATGCTCGTTTATAAGCTGAGATAAGTTTTTCCTCTCTGCCACAGAGATCACAGAAAGAAATTTCCTCTTTTGCTTACAAGACTTTTTTCTTATTGGTTTTAGCAGTTGGGCATTTGGAGGGATTCTTTCCTTAGGTCAGCCTTTTCCCACTTCACTTGATCTATCTGTAAAAATCAAACTTCATAGACTTCCGTGTGCTTTAGCTAGGCACTGAACTACCTCTTGTCATGATCTTCATCTTGGATCCAGCTGCCATATGAGGCTGTGCCACTGTAGAGCACAGAAGTAGGCTTGGAAGACCCATACTTTTCTGTGCTGTCACCTCTGGGTGCCCAAAGTCCCACAGGTGGAGCTTCCTCCTGGTGTGACACATTGCTGTGGGAGGGTGCTCTGAGCTGTGCACTGATGCAGTAGAAGTCAGGCTGTTACTGGAGAAGGAAAAAAACTTCACATCTGGGCACAGCAAGGCCACCAGCATCACCCAGATGGCAGAAGGAGGGTCAGGACACTGTCCTACTCCCTTGGGCCTCTTGGAAACCTTGTAGATGGTCATATCACAGTGGCAGTTTGAGGTGGGGGCTGCTGGAGAGGTGAGGGGTTCACTTTGTGGTGATTTCTATTTCTCTTGTCTGTACAGGGCACAGAGATGAGCTTGATACTGCTGTATGGTAGCTGTATAGACAACTAGAGCAATAAGGGAAGGGAGTGATGTGTTGTCAATACAGGTGGATGAGTGGTCTTCATTAAAACAAACCCAACCACCACGAGCAGCTTTTCAATTCAGCACTGCTCTCTCCAGCCACACCTTTGCATTCTGTATCCCTTGAGGGCTCCTTTGACTGAGACCTGGTAGCTTTCCTGACTTTGTATGGAAACTGAAAAGCAAATTAGTGGTCCTGATTCCATTGCTTGTGCTCTGTGTGACTGATCACATAAGTCTTCCCCCACCACTAAGGTTTAATAATCTGCAATGTTGATTTTTACCTTTATTTGCATAGAAGGTACAACAGACCAGCTCCTCTTCTGCTACAGCAACCTGTAAACATAAACAAAGATAATTGTATATTATCAGCTATTAATAGAAACATTGATTAATCTCCCATTGCTTTGGTAGCCTGCTGAAAAGTTCGTAAAGCAGCAAACTAAATTGTGCATTAAACTGGCCAGGTTGCAAGTGCCAGGATGTGGATACCATCCACCATACCAAACCATTCTGTGCCTCCAGAAGGAAATGCAAACTCTTGTTATTGTACTGCTGTGCTACAAACCTTCTTAATGTTTTCCCTTCCCTTTTCTTTCCTTTGCAGATGATGCCAGCTCAGGAAAGGATAGCCAGGTACCTGAAGGCTCCAATGGAGAATATGAAGATCATTCTGGGAAGCAATGGGGTAAGGAGCAGGGTGTGTTTGGTTTTCCTCAGTGCTTGGCTCACTGTTGTTCACACGGGACATTTCTCAGCTGCTGAAGGAAACGAAAGGCAGAGCGACTGGAGCGAGTTCTCCCTGCAGATGATCAAATAATAAACAGAGCATCAGCTGAACATCAGTGTGAATGGATCCCATCCAAGGGCCCTTCTGCAAAATGCAGCCCGTGCTAGGGCCCCCTGCCACACAGCCCAGCATGGTTCTCCCTTGCATTTGTTTTTCTGGGCAGTGACTTTCTTTTGCATGTGCAGCTATTACAGCTTTCATAGACTCTCTATAAAAGGCACATTGACTTTTACAGCAATATTTCCAAAGCCTTCAGTGCCAACATAACACTGCTCCCACTGAGGGCAAATGGGAGGTCTGACTTCACTTCAGGAGAATTAGTATTAGGCCAAAGCTGAGTATTTTTTTTAAATTACCCTCTCTTTTAGACACCTGCATGAACTTCTCTAAGCCCTGGACTGTTCAACCGTAGCATTTTGATGCTGTTGTGGAGCTTTGGGGAACTGCTAAAATCTCACTTGGAACAGGTTCTGAATCACTGCAAGACTTGCAGGTCCAGCGTTTGTTCCAAGCACTCCTCGAAGGATGATAACTTGTCTGGCTGATGCCATTTTGGCCATTAGTGACAGGCGTGTGATGTGAGTTTATGACCCCGAGGGATGAAGCACAGCATTTTCATTTTGCTTTTGCAGTACATCCCTCCTTTTAATTTTATAATACAGAGGTGGCTTTATGCCACATTTGTGGCCAGGGAGTAAACTCATAGCAGTGGTGGGGGTGGAACCTGACAAGCTGTCACTGTATGAGTCCCCACCACTTGAGCTGAGGCCAGTTTTCTTCAGGAGCTGACAAATAAGGGGTGTGGTGTGCTGTGGTGTAGTCCAGGCCACACCTGGAGAAGGCAGTGCCATAATAGCTTTGGATTACAGATTCCTCTGTGACTGAGCTTGCTCTGGGAGAAGAAGGTAATCTCCACCCATGCAGGAAAAGGATGACAGCATTTTAGAGTTAGGGAAAGGGTGGCTGAGATAAACTACATGTCAGGAGTCCTTCAGCAGGGATTCAGCAGCTATCAAGAAAAGCTGTCTCTCCACTCTTCGTTTCCCTGGTGGAGATAGGAGCAGACATTGAATGTCCTAGAATCATTAAGGGTGGAAAAGACCTCTAAGATCATCAAGTCCAACCATCAATCTAACACGACTGTGACCACTGAATCATGACCCAAAGTGCCATGTCTACATGGTTTTTGAATACCTTCAGGGATGGTGACTCCACCACCTCCCTGTTCCAATGCCTCACCACTCTTTCAGTAAAGAAATTCTTCCTAATATCCAATCTAAACCTCCCCTGGCCCACCTTAACCCCATTTCCTCTTGTCCTATCACTAGTTACCTGGAGAGAAGAGGCCAACACCCACCTCACTCTAACCTCCTTTTAGGCAGTTGTAGGGAGCAATAAGGTCTACCCTGAGCCTCCTCTTCTCCAGGCCAAACAAAATGTCAGATGTGCTTCTGGTGGAGCTGATGAATGATGGATCAATACAACAGTAATATTCTGAAAAAAGATATAAGCACAACTAAAATTTTTAGGCATTGACAATCTCACGTGAGATTGTGTCTTACTCTGCGCTGCCCTGTCCCAGTTGTTCTTTGTGCTCCAGCATTCCAGCACCTCTGCTTTTTCCCCTTTCCCTCCATCCCATCTCCTCTCCCCAGGCTGGGAAATGGCCACACCCTCACCCAAACCTTTTCCATTCAGTCATTTTCACCAGCAAATTGCTGGTGTGAGCTGGTGTGCAGGGAGGGTCAGTGTGTGTCTGCAGGTCTCTGGAGGATAACGGGTGAAGTTTGTGTTTGCAGAGTCCTGGGCCCTAGAGAACTGGAGGAGGAGAAGCATGACAAAAAAAAGCTTCCAGCTTTCCAGCTGCTGTCATGGAATTGCATCACTGGAGACAGGTCCTGCCCCCATCAAGAGCAGGGAGCTGATGTGGGGAAAGATAGACACCCCCATCCACATCTTTCCACAGCTGATTGAGCTCTTATCCAAGAGACTTTTAAATATTTCAATACTTAGTTGTATTGTGACACTTTTTTATATAAGTATCATGAAAGCTTGAAGTGGCACTGACTGTTTCTGTGTGGAGGCAATCGTGGTGGTCCACAGCAGACTACCTCACTTCACTTTGTATGAGCAAGTCTGACAGGAGCCTCCAGAACTGTTTCATGCACCTCAAGGTATCCCACAGCGAGAGGAATCTGCTGGATTCCTTCCCTGCTCTTTCTGCCAGCAGCATTCTGTTTCATTTAATTTTCATTGGCTTGAATAAATCTTCATGGTAAACAGCATTTCAGCAAGGAACCTGTACACAACACTGCCACTTTGTCCCCATCCATTTGTGTTTTCCCTTGTTCTTGTGTATAGCATAATTTATACTGGACAAAGGTGTGGTTCATGTTTATGAGGGAAACACCAAGTGATGTGGAGAAGAACAAGCATGTGAAGTATAAATAACACAAGAGCACATTGTGATGGCCTTTGCTGGCACTCCAACAAGCAAAACTTTTGTAAATGGTACAGATTTGGGGACAGACATTTACTAGCACCAACTCTGAAACTTGTTTTGCCTCTTTCTCACACTGTGGCTTCTCCCTCTTTCTCCTTTGTGCTTGCTGGGTTGCTTTTTCTCTCTTATGTATGTGTCTCTTTCTCTTTCTCCCTTTTTGTTAACTGGCTTTTCTAAACTTGTCCAGTTGAGGCTTTTGTCAAGGAAACATTCAGGACTCTGTAAATGGGATCTGGTTTCAGCATATTGTACACAGGCTGGAATAGCTTTTGAGATCACACAATCACTTAGCCTTCTTTAAACAGAAGAAGACAGACAGAAGAGCCAGAGAAGTTTAGCTTCACCTGTAGTTTGGTATGTGTCTGGGCAACGATGTACGAGGGGTGAATGCACAACTCCAGACAGATTCATGGGAGCTGCAGTGGGAGGAAAACAAGAAATGTTGCAGGCCTGCTTTTTGGGGAGGAAAGAGAGATTCTGTCTCTCAGTGCCCATACTGAGAAGGGACACCACCAAGTCTGTGGAAGCAGGGAAGAGGTAAGGGAGAGGTGAGGATTTGGAGTCACTCCCTTGACTCTTCACTCTGCATGGGTGCTGTGACTGTGGCTGTCCTGTCTCCAACCTGCTCTCTGGTATGTTAGTCCCAGCCCAGGGATCCCACCTGGTGAGGATCTACCCCTATCTGGAGCTGCAGTTCCTGCTCTCAGGGTAAATTGCTGCCATATCATGGAGGATAACAGTTTAGACCGATTTAATGGCTGGTTGTTACCCTCCCCATGCACCTTGCAGACTTTTACTCAGTTTCCACAATGACAGCCCTTATCAGCTTATCTCCTTCTGCTCAGACTTAAACATGTAGTTGCTCACAACGTGCAGCTCTGACAGAGTTAATTGTCTCCCTGGGAGGGTGATTGTTTTTGCTGGGAGGGGGCCTCCTCTTGCAGCAGACCTGGAAGGGAGTACCCAGCAAATGACACACCAGGACCTGTGGAGTGGGTTACTGTGTCACACTTGCTGCTCAGCTGTCACAGCAAGGACCTGCAGTGCCAGAATTGCTCTGGTTCATTGGATTACACATGAAAGCTTCTGTATGGAGAGGAAAGCATTTCTGAGCAAGAGTTTGAAATAACATGGAATGGCTGGGACCCAAAGTGACTGCCAAGGGGGGCAAGGGAAGGCTGTGGAGGCAGATGGTTTCCCCTTCAGAAAAGGACTCTGAGGAGACGTGTGTGCCAAAGAGTGTCTTCTTCATAGAGGGAGGGGTGCTGGGCAAGGCTGCAGGGGGATGAGGACTAAGGAATATGTTCACAGACTTTGGAGGTCTGTGGCTGCAGTTTCCCAGTGCTTGGAGAAGCTGCAAATCAGCCTCTTCCATCCAGTAAAGCTCCACTATAAAGCGCATCCCAGAGCTTCTGTCCCTCAGCCCTGGGCAGCAGGGAGGGGTGTCTAGAAGAGGGTCCCACTGTGCTGTCCTGTAGCTACCTTCCCTGATACCTGCAGCCCAACAGCTTGCTTTGCTGTGGTTTATGCTACTGAGGTTGTGGCTTTCCAGTTGCCATTGGTGATGGGCAAATTTCAGTTGCCACTCCAGTTGCCAGTGACTGATGGGCCTAATCCAACCCAGTGTGCCAAAGAGGAGGCAACTCATTACCTATTTTTCTTATTTCTGAAGGAAAGGATGAAGTAGGTTTTACCAGGGGAGTGCAAAAATGCAAGGTGACTGCCTTTTGGGGCTAAAAAGTAAGAACAGATGGAGAAACCTGTTGTGGAAATGCTGAATGGACTTGGAGGAGTAACTGGCTTTGCCAAAATAAAAAAGAAAAAAAAAAGAAAAGAAAAAAAAAAAGAAAACAGGTGAATTTGGCAGGAGTATTTTGAATGTAGAGGGAGTGTGCAAGTGGGAGTCAGAAGTTGTGTTAATCTGAACAGGAGACTGTAGTTAGAAGTGCCCCATGACTGGCATTGCATAATTAAAGTAACTGAGATATTTGAAAATTCTTTTGAATTCTTCATTAGACAATCTGTTGCCTTGCAACAGATCCTGTTCCGTTGTTTCAACTTAGAAGTTTTTGCAAAGATCTTTTTCTTTCTATTGATTAGTTAGACTAACTTGTGACTTTACAGGAAAACTCTCTGCAATGTCAGTAAAGCTCCTAACGTGTAAAGATTCTCTTCTCCCTCTGGAATTCTAAATAAACTGAAATTAAACTAACTAACTGAATTAAACTAACTGAATTAAAGTTAGGTGCAGTCAAGGGTATAAGTTCAGATTTTGCCAGGTTTTTGCCATTTTCTCTCTAATGTTCTTGTCACTGCTGTTAGAAATATTGGTGATTTCCTTGCTAAGACAAGGTGACTATCTTAATCCACGATTCTGTCCACCAGCAATTATTGCTTCAGATTCTCCATTTGGGAATGGACTGAGATGGGCTGTCTTCTAGTAACAAACTCAGGAGTTTTTTATTGTCACTTTCCATTTGTTTGTTTGATTCTTTGGGCCTTTCAGCTTCATGAATGCTTATGAAGCATGAATGCTTCATAAATTGAGTTAATTACATACATTTAAGCTCAGATCAATGTACAAAAGTCTGGCACACTTCTAAGACCTTCCTACATCTTAAGTCCCATTAAACCTAGTGTGAACTAAGGGGCAAAACATCTTCAGAAAATGATGCTTCAAGTGACCAGCAAAAGATAGAGAAAACAGTCAGCCTGACAGGAAATGGAAGTTTCTCCTTTGGTCTGGACTAAGGGCTTGCATTTTTGGCATGGAGTATGGTAACAGTTACAGTGTGATTATGGGGCTACGTATTGCCTTCAGCTACAGTAACATGATTTTGGTATTATTTAGTGAGACAGTCTGAGGCAGTTGTGTTACAGATGCCGAGAAGTTCCAGGATGCAGAAGGGTAATGTGGTGGCCACAGCAGTCCAGTAGACACTCAAATGCATCAGGCTGGATGAGGTCTCCTTTGTAAGGGAATCAGTCTGAGCTGGTATGTGAGAGGGTGACACACTGGTATGTGTGGGGCTGCCGGGTGCCTCTCAAGCAAATCTGGCCATAACACTTAAGAGCTGTGTCCTTCTTTGCATGCCCTTTCCTCACGACAGTGAATTTTTCCTGCCTTCTGCAGCCCGACCCAGGTTCACTCAGCCTGCCAAGATGCGGCGGAGGGTGATCGCCCGGCCCGTCGGCAGCTCCATCCGCCTCAAGTGCGTGGCCAGCGGGAACCCGCGGCCCGACATCACCTGGCTGAAGGACAATAAGCCCCTCACGCCCCAAGAGATTGGGGAGAACAAGAAGAAGAAGTGGACGCTGAACCTGAAGAACCTGAAGCCAGAGGACAGTGGGAAGTACACCTGCCGAGTGTTTAACAAAGTCGGAGAGATCAATGCAACGTACAAAGTGGAAGTGATCCGTGAGTACAGCCTCCGGGGTGGGGAGGCAGGGAGGGGGCTTTGAGGAGGGGTCTGGCTCTGTAAAGAGAGCTGGATGCAAGTGTGTGGTGCCAGCAGCTGGGCACAGAAATCAGCAAGTGTTAAAAAAACCGGCAGAGACAGAGAAAACATTAGTGAAGTTCTAGAATAAACCTAACACCTGGCAAGACAGAGCAGCAACAATGCAATGTAGTAGCTGAAATGAGGAGGGATACTTGGGAGTCATCTCGAAGGGCACCTGTATGCTAAAAGCTCACCATTGCCCAGTCCAGTCTTACACTACCAACAGGCTAAGGTCAGGAATAGACTGAGAATTAAGAAAAGCTTCTGATGTACCATAGAGGAAGCATGGAAATATTTAGGATGGTCCAGATTACTCTGTCAGAGGGGGAATAAGGTGAAATCAATCAAATGAAAATTTAGCTTAGATAACTGTAACAGAAGGCCAAACTCATTAGACAAGTCTCCCAAGGGAATAAGCAGAAATCTTATGATTAGTGTGATTAGCCAGACAAGGCTTCCAGGCCAGATTTAAAAAAAACCCCAACATTTGGCCATCTGATGGTTCAGGTGAATACAAATGAGATACTAAAAAAAAAAATAAATTATAATCTCACTAGGGTCCTGTCTGTATCTTTAGATGCCTACAGAGCTTTAAAGATTCAACCCTTAGAAGATGAGCTGTGGGGGATGACCCTGCATTGTGGTGGGGTAGAGTAAATTGCCCTTCTATCTATCTACCTGTTCTGATTCTTGGTCTCTAATCCCCTGTTTCCCCTATTATTACTGAGGATAATTATACTCAAATCCTACCTAAGCCTACCAGAGAAGAACTCTTATTCTTAAATCATTGTGCTTTGTCTGTTACATCATCACAAATTGTCATGGAAATGATGACAGAGCAGCCAACTCAAGAAGGTGGAGAAGATGAGCTAAGTGGAGGGGAGATGGAATAGCCTTCGTTAGGGAGGAGCAGGGGCATGGAGGGCTATTTCCAGCCACATGGAAAGCATGTTGTTTGTCTGTCTGTGCATGCATTTTAGCATGAGAAAGTTTATCCCAGTGTGAAAGATTGTTCTTAAAGGTAAAGATCTGTTCTCTGATAAGTCCTTTCTCTGGAAGCACAGGAATTAAAAGCACATGTGGGGAGCTTTGCCGGGCTCTGAAGGCACAAACCTGCTGGACATCTGGGATTGATAAAGATGCAGCTGTGTGGAGACAGTAAAAACATGTGTTTACACTAAAACCAGGAGCAGAGACAGGGAAATGAATCAAGCCCCATCCTAATGGCAGCTGTGGCATTTTCACTTCATCAAAACCAGACAGCACCAGGAACAAACCCCTTTCTGTGTCCCTGTTTATCTTGGTCTTTATCAACTTAAAGATGTATGTAACCTTTGTTTTCATTAGCTTTTGCTGGCTAGGAGTGAAAACAGTAACCAATGCTGGAATCAGAGTTGAGGAGATAAGGGCATTAAGCAGTTTTCAGACATCTTTCTATTTTTAACATCATTCTGTGGAGCATTACAGGTTTTATTCAATTTCCTCCTTTTTTTTTCCCCCCTGAGCCTCCACTCCTAAGTCCTGCTTATCTGAATCTCAGTCTCCCCAGCTGTGATTCCTGCCCGTAGTCCCAAGGCAAAGCCTATAGAGACCACTGTGGTATTTTCATTTCCCAAGCACATCTTTAGAGCCCTGATTATTGAAAGTATCCTGAGTTTTTTGAAAGAGGGTCCATTGTTCCTTCCTCTCACCCCAAAGCTAGTGCTGGTGGGAGCTGTTTTGCTACATGCTCAATCCAACAGTGTTTGCCATCAAAAAACAGTTGATGATTGCCAGCAGTTACCACCCACTGGGATACAATAATTTCTCTCTGTGCCCAGGATAGAGGTTTGCAGTACCTCCTTGTCTGGAAACGGTGACTGATTCCTCTGATGCTAGCACTAAAAAGAAAATCCAAACATTCCTCAGATTGAGGGATATATTTTTCCTTTGACTTTATGTGGTGTTGACACAACCTAAGGCTCACGATCTCCTGGAAAGGATGGTCTTGTGACCCTCTTGCATTTGATTTCCTTTCCTACCATCTTTTTTACTTCATCAGCTGAGACTTGAGACAAAAAAAATTTGTGAGAAAGGAAAGAATTCGTTATTATTTAGAAAAGCAAAAGCCTTCTGAGCTCTTCCTCCACAAAAATGTGCTCCATAGTGTGTAGGGGGATGATCAGACTGAAGAAAGAAATAATAAAAGCAGGGAGGTGAGGGTGAAGTGAAGAACTTCCTCACTGGTAGTACCTGTGGTTTCAGCTTCCCCTGCAGTGGATGACATAGCGTGGGATGGTTTCCAGTAGAGTTTGGCCCCCATAGGCAGCTTCCAGACACAGAAACAGAGATGATAGTTATCTCCTGAAGGACTTACAGTCAAAAGTTGAGGCAATACCCACAGCCTGCCATTAGTCCATGGAAGAAGGGGCCTTGTGCCGTCCAGTTTTGTCTATCCTTGGGAAACATTTGGGAAGACTGAAAGGAGGAGGAACATGTCTTACCCTGTCCCACACTGTCCCCAAACTGGGGGTAGCCACAGTGATTCTGGTGTGCTTTCTCAACAAAGTACTTGTGAATAATCTGGTAAAAAAAAACTCGGGTTTTGTCTGAGGATATGAAAGGTTCTGTCATATTCACCTGCAAATTTCACTCTACCAGATATAGTGGTAGGAGATACAGCATCACAGAATCACAGAATGGCTGAGCTTGGAAGGGTCCTCTAGAGGTCATTTTCTCCAGTTCCCCATGCTCAAGGAGGGCCTCCTAGAGCCAGTTGCCCAGGACCACGTCCAGACAGCTTTTGAAGATCACCAAGGGTGGAGATGCCACTATCTCTTTGGGCAACTTGTGCCAGTGCTTGGTCACTCTCAGAGTAAAAAAGTGTTTCTTGCTGTTTAGAAGGATCCTCCTGTGTTTTGGTTTGGGCCCATTGCCTCTGGTCCTGTCACTGGGCACCACTGAAAAAGTCTGGCTTCATCTTCTTTATGCCCTCCCTGCAGATACTTGTAAATACCGATAAAACTTCGTGAGAGTCAACATGGAGTGAACATTTACAGTGAAATAACCCACTTCATTTGTGTTTTGATGTCTACTGTTGCCTAAATTTAATCCTGAAACAGGTTTTGTCGTTTTATCAGGCCATTTGTCTTCCCTGTAGGTCAAAGTACATATTAAGGTTCTATTATTCTTGGTTATGTTCTCTGAGACATGGGGATAAGTGGGAATACAAGGAAGGATGAGCCCTTTTGTCATTTCATAGCTGCACCAAACTGCAAGGCAATGGGGAAATTCAGCAGTCCATACTGGACTTGCAAAACCTGCCAAGGAGCAGAAGGGCCAGGTCTGACTTGTGTGGTCTCAAGTCATAACCAGTTGGGTACCCAAATATAAATGCTTCACAAGTGACCAGAGAGAGCAGAAGCATAGCAAAGACAGAAAATCATTCTATAGGAGATACTTAGGGCTGGGTTTGCTTAGCATTAGGAGAGCTGCTCAGTGTATAGAAAAGTGGCTAAGAGGGGGAGCAAAGTTTTCTCTGGGTGTGGTGCAGATAGAGTAACTCCCTCCCTTGTTAGGGACAGGAAGATTCAGGTTGAGCGAGAGAAAATGCTTGCTAAGCCTCAGACAATGGAAGAGTTTTCTGGAGAGGCTGGAGAGCATCTACCATTAGAGGCTTAGGCAGAGGCTGGGGAAATTTATTTCAGGAGAGATTTGTAGATGTCCCCACCTGCCTTGGGTCAAGCAGTTGGACTAGACGGTTACTTTCCATCCACCCGACACCTTTTTCCTATGTTTCTGCAATCACAAGTTGATGACAGTGGCAAACACCTTTTTCCATGGAGCTCCCTGTGTTTTTGTGCAGAGAGGACGAGGTCCAAGCCCATCCTGACAGGGACACACCCTGTCAACACGACAGTAGACTATGGTGGGACCACATCCTTCCAGTGCAAGGTCCGCAGCGACGTCAAGCCCGTCATCCAGTGGCTGAAGAGGGTGGAGTACGGCACGGAGAGCAAGTACAACTCCACCATCGACGTGGGGGGACAGAAGTTCGTGGTGCTGCCCACGGGGGAGGTCTGGTCCCGTCCCGATGGCTCGTACCTGAACAAGCTGATGATTACTCGAGCCAAGGAGGAGGATGCGGGGATGTACATCTGCCTGGGGGCAAACACCATGGGCTACAGCTTTCGCAGCGCTTTCCTCACCGTCCTGCCAGGTCAGTTCTGCCTTTTTCTTCCCCCACCTGAACCAGCCGCCTGCATCGTGGGATTTACTAACACAGCCCCCGATGCCCGTTGGCTCCACAGCTCTCTGTGGTGCTGTGCTGATTTAGGCTAGCCCAGTCCTGATAAGAATGACTGAGGGACTAAATCAACCCTGAATTAAACCAGCCCTTGCTGAAATCCTCTTGATGGTGTTTCCTTTTTTCCCTTCACAGGGAGGAAGGATTCCAGTAAGGTGAACTGGCATGAATAATCTGCTCCTGTATGGAAGGGGAGCTGGGAAAGGGTACTGCAGTTGCAGACACTACATCATTCAGTGATAGGGTGCAGGACTTGAGGGCCACACTGGGTAGCAGCACAGTTTGCAGCCCCGTTTCCTTGCATTTCTCCTCTCTCTTGCTCTTATTTGTATTGCTTTTCCTTGTAAAAGGATATGATGGTACAGGCCCATAAAATGAGAGAAGAACAAGAGCTGTCCTGGTCACAAGGAAAGGAAAGGAAAAGAATGAGTGTGAAAGAGGGAATGACTGATTCATTAAATTCTTACCCAGTGATCCCTTGGGGACTCTTGTACCAAACTTGCAGCTGATTCCTCCTCTCCCCAGGCCTCAGAGCTGGTGGCCGTGTCCAACTGAGGCTCTATTGAGTGTGTCTGAGGCACGTCATCCTCACTTTCCATTTACTCTTTTTTTCTCCTGACTGTGCAGTTCTGCCCTGATAAATATTTTTATTTGCAAAGGGCATTTCTTTCTGCCTCATCTTGCCCTGGGAATCTAGCTTCAAACCCACCAGTTTTACGACAAAAATCAATCTTACTGCTTTTCCTTTCCTCCACCACACAGAGGCCAACACAGCTAGGAGAGTTCAGGAGCTGGAGGCAACATCAGAACATTTTAGCTGTCAGGACTAATGGAGTGTCTCCAGTCAAGACAGCAAGAGAGGCAGAGTTCATTAACTCTCCCAGGCTGTTAGGACTGGTGTTCTGTGTCAGTAGTGGGGAAGTGCTCCTGACTCCTGTAAGTGAGACAGCGTGGCTGCTGCTGCTCACTGACTGCCAAAGCTCTGCATCTCAGCAGCCATCGAGTCACTAGCTTGAATTTAGGTTCTGACAGCGGGCTGCCAAGTAAGAGAATGATCTTGGTGGCTTCTGCATCACTTGTATTTAGGACTGTGCTCTGACTAGAAAGCCTGTCAATCCCAAGGAAAAGGCTGCATGGGTGGGATCTAACTCGAAGTCTCTGGGAATTTCTCTACTATGAGAGTCTGATCCAGCTCCCACTCAAATCAGTGGGAGACTTTTCTTTGATTTAAATGGGACTATAATGAGGCCTCATACTAGAACCAGAGCCTGCAGGTCTGCTGTTATTGGCAATGACAGAGAAGGAGAACCCAGCTTACCCTCAGAGGCAAAGATGTGGTTGCAAGGCCATGAGTTAGAAAAACACCATTTTGCTTGTAAATCTACCAGATTTGACATAGACAGCTCTGGAGAACAGCATGGATGAATATCAAAACACTTCCATTTCAGCCCAGCAGAGGATTTATGCCAACCAACATGAAGACTGTTGTTTTTGTGGTCATCTGATGGGTCAGCTCTATAATCCTGTATTGCTTTGAGCAAGATGCTGGACCAGATGACCTCCAGACTCCCCTTTCAGCCCAAATTATTCTGTAATTTCCAGTATTGGTGAATCAGAGTTTTGTCTATTAAGGTCAACAGTATAGGTCCTTCTGACTTGAAAGAGACCACATGGTATATATTTAATGTTTCAAGCTAGTCACAGAATTATTTGTCAAGGAGAGAAAAAGACATTAGTGTCTCAAGTTTAGCTGGGAAGTTAAGTGATATATGTTTGATATTGGACAATTTGGATAGCCTGTGGTTTTCAAAGTTTCTTGAACGTTTCCCAGCAAGCTGAGTTCTATGCCTAGGTATTTTTCAGGACTTTAGAAATCCCAGCTTGTAGCTATCTAGATGGGGATTTTGGTTCTATAAAGAAATCAGGGTGACAAACTGAAATGGCTACCCAAGGGTGCACAGGCTGCCAACAGCAGAGAGGCGAAAGGGGAGACAGGTGTGAAAGATTCTATCTGAAGCATCTTATCTCCTCCAGTACCTGAACTGAGCAGAATTTGCTGCCCCTGGAAAGCCAATGGCAGCTCCAGAGAGACTGGTGGAGGCAGAAACCATTTGGCAAAAGGAGTTGAACACACATTTTAATGTCATGTGAACTTTCAGTTCTCCATAGTTTGGTCACCAAGGAAGGGACACCAGCTCACCTACATTTTTCCCATCCTTCAGCCTTCCTCATTGTCACACAAGAAACTTGAGACAACACCTCCAAAGCACCATATTCATGCTGCCTGCCTTGGCAGAGCATTGCTGAATATCTCCAATATTGCTAGACAGGGATACTAAGGAGTGTCTAAAGCCCATGCAGACACAGCTACACCTGGCAGACCTGAGTGGGCAACATGCCATGGCTCTACACAGCCCTGTCGTGCCTCCTGGGCTGCTGACATGGAGGTATTACTGACAGGTCCCTTGTTGCCTCCTCCAGTCTGGGCAGCGAAGCTCACTCCATAGCAGAGTGAGGGTGTTGGGAAACTCACAGGTTGGCTCTAGTGCATCCATTAAGGCTTGGATAAGAAAGTTAAAAAATCCCCCAAAGACTCCCCTCCTGACCCCTAAACCAGAGAAAATGAGTTGCTTGTCCTTCCAGGAGCACTGAAAAGCAAAGCAGTTACCAAACATCATGTGCTGGCCTGATTTCTCCCTTGTTACTTGGTCTGGCAGGGTTGCCAGACAGCCTCTGCGAAAGCCAGCCCAAAAGTGACATCTGTTTTGAATCCACTTTGCCTGCGTTTGATTAACCCTTTGTGTCTCTCTCCTGCCACCATGTCCAGATCCCAAGCCTCCGAGCGCCCCCGTGCCCCCCTCCTCGGCCAGCAGCCTGCCCTGGCCCGTGATCATCGGCATCCCCGCCGGGGCCGTCTTCATCTTTGGGACAATCCTCCTGTGGCTCTGCCAGACGAAGAAGAAGCCCTGCTCCCCTCCAGCTGCCGCCCCCGCGCACCGCCCGCAGCCCCGGGACAGGATCTGTGTCCCCCAGGTCCCCGACAAAGACTGCATCTCCTCCATAAACTATGAGGAATACGTC